GAAGCCAAGGAAAAGGGCAAAGATGCCGGTGAAAAGGTGTCCGAGAAGGCTGGCCAAGCGAAGGACAAGGCCAGCGAATTAGGCAGCGACTTCAAGGACAAATTGGAGGAAGGGTGGAAGTACTCGACGGACCAACTGGACAAGGTATTGTGAGGCGGTTCTTAAGTTGACTGAGTGATGTTTGCCATAGCTCAAGTCGGGTGTGAAGCACGAAAGCCAGAATGTGCAGGAAAAGGTGTCGGAGTATTTTGATTCTGTGAAATCGAGCGCTTCAGATGCGCAGGACATGGTGCGCATGCTGACGCATGGACACTACTGCTCACTGGGTGTGGTTAGCTCAAGGAGTATGCGGAAAGTGGCCAGGAGAAGGGCGAGGACTACTACAAGCGCGTGAAGCAGTCGATGGAAAAGTGGCGCGGTAGCTTGGACAAGCTAGAGTCGCAGACCAAGAATTACAGCGAATCGTACCGCAAGGAAGTGTCGGAATACGTCAAGTCGCAACGCGATCACATCGACGAGATGGCTCACCGTGCCCAAGCGCAGGCGGAACATGATGCGCGCCAAGGCGGCGAGGACGAATGAGCTCAAGAGCAAGTGCAGCCACTGCAGCTCCCCGTTGTGGTGGAAGCCGCAGTGGGCTGGCTAGTTTTTAATTCATGTTAATCGAGGCTGGGCGAACTAGCAAACGTCCTCCTTCTTTTGAGGGTCCCCTGATGGCAAGCAGAAGTTGGAAATCATGCTAGGATGCTACGAAGCTTTTGACTCTTGTACAAACCAGCCATTGGGAAATGGAAAGACTGAGAGCTGTTTAAAGAAATGGCATCCACCCAATGTACATTTGGGCCAAGTTTTCGTTGGACGTGGCTTCCGCGATGAGGCGGTCGACTTGTCCTTTCACGCTCAGCGGCAACGTTTCGTGCTGCTGCTTCTTGCCGAGGTTCCACATGCCCCGCAGCCGTTCGTCGATCGTTTTGAGCATGATCTTGGCCTCGCTGTTAACTTGTTCGTTGTTGGCAGCGATGGGCTTGAGCGCCGACGCCACGACCTGCTTGTTTTTGCTGCGACCCCACTCGACGAGCGGATCATGCACGAACGACTCGAGGATGCTGCGCAGAGTCTCACGATTGGCTCGCAGCAGCGTCAGCGTCACTTCGCACGTATGTCGATACACGCCCTCGACGCCGGTCAACCCAAACGCATCGATCATGTTGGGGGTGAGCCGGAACGGGACAATTTCCGGGCGCGCCAACTTCAAGCCCTTGTCAAAGAGGCAATCAAAGTCCACATGAACGCATTCGCCCGTCGTGCAGTCGATCAGGATATTCTCCCCATGGCGATCTCCGAGCCCGACGATGTGGCCAACCATCGACCACACCGCCGCGGATCGGACGAATATATTTCTGCACAACGTCACTCGATCAGCTCGCAGTGTCGAGCAGGCCAAGCGCTTACCTGGCTTCATACCATGCCGTGGGGTCGCTAAAGTTGTTGAGGAACCACTGGTGGAAGCGCGGCGTGAACGCGGGGTGCGTCAGGATTTTGGATTTGTAAAACACGGTCATCTTTGGCACGTCGTGCGCGTATTGTTTCTGCATGTTGAGAAAGGTGTCCTTGAGCTCCGTCGTGAGGCGCACGGGCTGGAGGAACCCTTGTTCCGTTTTGTAGATTTGAGAAATCAAGTGCCGCATCGCGCGGGTATTGGGAACCCACTCCATGAGCCCGCTCTCTTCGTTCAAGCAAATGACAGCGTACGTGCGAAGGCGCAGCTTGCGCTTGCGGCCGTTTGTTTCGCGCTGGAGCAACTTGTTCATGAGCGCGTTGAACTCCATCATCCGCGCGTCCTTGCGCAGGTCGCCGTGTTTTTCCCGCTTGCACAAAAACGAGTACGTCTTGCCATCCGTGCCTTGGATCTGGATGCGTTTCGGCTTTTCTTTCGTCAGCATCACGTCGGCCTTGTCGCCAAACGACTTGATGTACACGTCACTCTCGGGGAGGTCTCGACGATGGATGATGTTCTGAATCGGTAGCAGCACCTTGGCACGTACCCGCGTGAGTCGAATCGGCATCTTCTTTTGGTTGCCAGGGTCGAACTCGGCGAGTTTGATCAGTTCTTCCACGAGGCGCATGCCTTCGCTGAGCGCGTTGGCCATGCCGACTTGGTTGGAATTGGTCAGTTGCTTCTGCGCGACTTTGAGGATCTCAATCGCCCGCGTCTTGCGCTGCGTGTTGAGCGACTGCGCCAGCCCTAGGACGTACCACATCGCACGCTGTGGAAACGTCATCAAGACCTTGACCATGATTGCTTTGACGCCGTCGACAACCGCCACGTTGGGGTGGCAGATTCGAGACGTAACTTGGGGAAAGCACACGAGCCACATGCTTTCGGGCAAACTGTGGAGCGCATCCAAGATAATCTTTGAAATGTCCTGCATCAAGCGATCCCCGTCGTTGTCTTGAATGTCGAGGCGGTAGCTGCGTTTCGAGCTGGCTTGCAAAATCTCGCCAAACTCGTACCAAAGGGTGAGCAGCCGCGGAAGGGACTGGAATAAATATTTGTCCGTCCCTTTCAAACTCAGCACATAGTTGTGCAGGACGTGCGGCAAGTAAGCATAAGGGTCCGTGCTGTCTTGGATTTCCCGTCGATCGCTCTCGAGGAGGACTTCGTAGTACTTGGCAAGGCAAAAGTACCCCTTGGCGTAGTCTTTGTCGAACGCAATCACGGCTTTGTACCGGTCAATGACGTGCTGGCCTTGCTTTTGGCTAGACTGTTGCATGTAGTTCGTGGCCAGAAGCAACGTCTTGGCGTGAAAGTGGTTGTCCGCCGTCCGATGCTCCAATGTCGACACGTCAATCGGAATCGGTTCCAACACGTGCAGCGCTTCGTACATTTTGCCTCGTTCGACCAGTAGCTTGGCTTGTTCGATGATGGCGGTACGACTTCCCAGCGCCTGGGCGTGCATCATGGCGCTTTCCGCGGTCCGGACGAGACCTTCTTTTCGCGCCATTTTCGCATACCGCAGCCAGTTGGCCGACACAAGGTCTCCATCGAGCTGCAGATCGTGCATCATGACTCGTCGCAGGGCCAGAATTGGCTCCTGGAACTTGAGCGCGGGCGCCATCATAGCATCTCGCCGGGTCCACGGACACTGAGCATTCCATGCGTCGGTTCTCTTGGACGACGTGGAATTGGAGGAAGTGGTGGCGACAACGAATCCTTGCTCCAACTCGTGCAAGAAATGCAGCTGGTTCAGAAGAGGGTACACGCGTTGATATGACTCTTGCGAAGCGGCCGCCAACGGTCCCATGATCGCTGCCCGCGCTTCGCGCACTTGCACGTGCATGTTGTTCTTGTCTTGGTGAAAACACAGAATCGCCTTGGCAAACTTCATTCCCATCATGTCTTCGTTGTCGAGCTTGACTTTCATCGCGTCCGTCGTGAGTTCGGCGAGGAGATCCCACCGCGAGAGGCGCCACGCGCACTCGAGCGCGCAGGGGTACACCGCCGGGATCACTTCTGGGTACTGGTTCACAATGCCGCGAACGTGTTGCAGCGCCCCTTCCAACCGCCCGAGTTGAATCATACACTGGATCACCCCCGAGTACAACTCGCTGCGGATATCGACTTCGACGTCCGATCCGTGCATGTGGTGTATTGCTTGCTCGTAGCACGCCAGGGCGTCTTCCCATCGCGCCAAGTGTTTGTGTTCTGCAATCAAGTGCTGAAGCTCCTGGAATGACCCGGTCGGTTGTGGGTGCAGCCATCGCCGTTGAATGGCGAGCCCGAGGAGGGCGTCGGGTTCGTCGAGACTACCATACATCTTCTGCATCTTGGTGATATCGGACGACGTCATGTGGACACCGGCGGCGCCGCCTTGTTGGCGCAAGTGGCTTTCAAAATACTGGATCGCGCGGGCATACGCTTTGATCTTGAACGCGGCGGACGACAGCAGAAGCAGTGGAATGTCTTTCAGAAACTCCTCCACAACTTCCTTCTCTTGGTCAAACATTTCGTCAATGTGCTTGGCCATGTGTGGCTGCTGGCTCATCGCGATTTTCTTGCGCTGGCTCGCCCACACCCAGTCGTTCAGTTCGTCCAGCATCGAAAACACCGTTTGCGCGCACTGGTGGTGGTGGCTCGACACCGCGTCGCTCATCATGTCCAAGCTGTCTTCTTGCAGCACGCTGAGAATCTCCTGTTTTACCATGTTGTACGACGACGTTTGCTTCAGGACGTTTTGGACCAAGTACGGCAGGAGGAACCGTGCCATTTCGAGCGATATTGTCAACGCTCGACGGCATGCGAGGAAAATGTGGCGCTCGGGAAAGGTCGAGTGGTCGATCAAGTACTTGCACCACGACACGAGCCACTGGTCAAATGCCACCGACCCGAGCGCTTCGTAGAACGTCGACGACGCCGGCATCGTCGTCGGTTTGAAGTTTGGCGCTTGGTATTTGGTGGACCAGTACGGGGCAATGATCTTGTCGACTCCTTTGCTTTGAAACTGGCGCTGCATCCATTCCGGCATGGTCGATGTCGATTGCACAAACCCCGCCGAACTAGACGGGGCGGACGGCGCTGTGCTGTTGGAGTCTGGCGCGTTCAATTGTGCGAGAAACTGAAGCAGCTGCTGGATCGACAACGCGATCACGTCGGTGTTATGGGGTGCCGCGCGCAGTTCTTTGACCAGGAGGGTTTGGATCAAGTGGCATGCCAAGTTCTTCGTGCTCAGTTCGTTTGTGGTGTCAGGGCGCAGCGCTTGCGGGGTGATCCGCGCCATGTCGATTGCCCCCAACGCCCCCAACGCTTGGGCGACGAGGATTTGCATGGCGTCATGTGTTTCCAAACGACTTAAGTGCAGGAGCTCTTTGAGGACTCCCATGATGCACGAGTGTACCAGCCCTTCTTCGAGCGACAAGATGAGATCAAGCACTTCGCGACAGCGGTTGTTGAGCACGTGGATCAAATGAAGGAGCCCTACTTCCCGCACGGCGCCGTCCCAGTGCTGCAATAGCGGGATCAAGAGTTGGAGGACTTCGTGAATCGGAAGGTGCCTGATCTTGATGGGCGATTCCACCGCGACGGACGGCGTCAGCGCAAGAAGGAATGCCACGGACGGGTCGTTGTGGATCGTTTCGTGGGTAAAGATCGAGCGCAGCACTTCAAGCGCGACCTGCTGGGCCTCCGTGAAATCATCTGCGTGAGGTCTGCCTCCGTCTTGAGCTACGTGCTGCTGGAACAGTCCAGCTAAAGGTCCGATGCACGGCAATAAACTCACGACAATTGATAGTACGTTCGCCTTGATGGCGTCCGCCGACAGCAGCCGCACAAACGTCCGCCACGCGCGACACGCTGCCAGAATCTTCTCTTCGTTCGCTTCTTGGGACGCCAGCTTTAATGTGGCCATGATCTTGGGAACAAAGTTATCTAGGTCGCCAGAGCTGTCAAATAGAGACAGCAGCACCTCCGTGCACTGAATCGCGCGGATGCTGTGGCGGACGTTCTTCGACAGCAGCTTTTGTCCGAGGAACGTCATGACGGCGAGGAAGAACTGCTGCGAAATGTGAAACTTGTTCGACGAGTTGCCGTTGTCCTCGTCGTCCAAGAACTGCTTACACACTTCGATGAACGACTTCTTGGCGACTCTGGGGCGGTCCCCGGCGAGCTCCCACGCCAAGGCGTAGATGATCGTCAGCGGTTTGTGCTGGATCACATCGCGAATCCCAACGTCATTCGGGATAAATCCAAAGAAGAAATCCCACTCCGCCACGTTGTTGAACGACGTGACCTTTTGCATGAGCATCTCCTTGACAATGGCCAGAATGTTTTCGCCGACAAGCGACGACACAGTTGCACCGCCGCCATGGAACGTCGCCACCGTCTGCAGCAGCGGCAAGTTCTTGGCCACAATCAAGTGGGGCAGGATGTGCGCCGCGTTCTCCTTGAGAAAGATGGCCAACGTGACGTCTGCGCCGAGAAAGGTCGCTAAAAAATCGGACAAAGCACTGCCGTTCCCAGGTTGGAGCAGAAGATGCACCAGCGGCTCGTGGATGCGGTCTGGATGCTGCACGAAGAGCTGCTTCCATGTCAGATGGCAACTTGTTACCATGCGATTGAGTTCGTGCGCCTCATGGATCTTGTTCGTCGAGACCTTCCACAAAGCTAGAAGGCGAAACAGCAGCGCGAAGAAGAGATCGCCTTCAGCCTTGACTTCCAAGTCGCAGCTCGCCCCTAACGTGGCCGTCGCGCGGGTTATCGTGCGCGCCAGATGCGGATTCTTGCGGAGGTGGCCGTCGAACACGTCAAAGAGTTGGCTAGCCGTCGCGTCGACGTTTTCAAACGTAGCCATCAACGTAGCCGTGATGCCAATGTTCGTCTCGACCACACTGCGGCACGCAGGGTCCGAGTGGCCTAAGGCATCCAAAAAGCGCCACACTACTGCAGGCGGCACATTCGACTTGGGCATGTGTTTCATGAATGCTGCCATAGTCAAAAGAGCTTGCTGGGCCACTGTTGCATCGGACAATGCCTTTTCCAGCATTGCAAGCACTTCTTGAGCTCCTCGAAGTACGACTTGGACTCGGCGGGGTTGAGAGCACGCACACGCGACGAACGGTCCGCATTTGCTTTGAAATAGCCGAGTTGTTTCATGCTGGGTGGACGTGAGAGGGATCGACAGGTCCGAGACTGTGCAGCACAACTTGGAAAACGTCGCGATTGCTGCCTGCGCGACGCGTGGGCGGAGCGACGTTGCTAGTGGCGTGAGCGAATCCAGCAAGGTGGTCCAGACTTCAACCGCACTCGCTGCACCAGACTGCACGACGACATACAACCAGAACGGTGCCAACGTCACCGCGGCAGGATGTTGATTCGTGATATTCTCCAAGAACACTCGCCCCGACAGTGCCGAGTTCCACTTGGAATCGCGCAAGGCCAGCGGGGCATGCCGGTTGTAAATCCAGCACAGCACCACGAGAAACTGCTCGAAGCGGTTCTCGATCGCGACCGGCTGCATCGTTGTGCTGCCATACAAGAAGACGTGGTCCTGTACACCGGTGTCGGAGATGAACGTTTGGAATTTCGTCAGCGTTGGCAAAATGGACAACCCTCGCAACTCGTCGTCCGTCGCGTACCATAGCGCAAGTGTGACAAGCGACAACGTCGAGTCACCGGGTCGTGGCGCTCCGAGCAAGTGGCGGACTCGATCCAGTACCATCCGACAAACTTCGACCTCGGCATGCATACGCTTGGTCGTTGGCGGTGTCCGCAATGGCAGCAACACCGACAGACCAACGACTGCAACGGAGTTGTCATACGTCAGAGCCAGCACCAGACCCACCAGAACTTTGAATGCATCGACCGGAGGCGCCGCCAGTGTCACTTGAGCGTACTGATTGAAGCAAATGGCGGTCGACAACGGGGAATACTCGGGCGTCACCTTTTGGCGCTTCGTGTTGGACGAGTTGGCGACGTACTCGGAATGAAATTGGGATATCATGACATGCGCGTGAGTCCACACGTCCGCCGTGTGCGACCTCAAAGCGCAATGGATGGTTTCGGCCACCTCTTGCTGAATAGTTGATTGAGACAGGTCCGTGTGGGCGACGACCTCGACGAGAAGTGCCACCGAACGACCGTGGCTTTCTGGGTTTGTGAGAAATATTCGCAACGTGCTACAGATCGCTCCAACCCATGACGGGTCTGCTCGCTTCGACGTGGCAAATGCTTTAAATGGCAGCCATAGCGCTGACGACACCACCTTTGACGTGGATATAACCGATGTCGACAGGCACTTCACCAAGCGGACCGTTGTGACGTCGGTTTGGTGCAGTCGACTCGCGTAGGCGTAAAATGCCGTGCACAAGTGGACAATCGAATCAGTCCAATGGATCTCGGTGAGTAGGCACTCCATGAGGTCCATGGCCGCTGCGTCGACTGGCGTAGTCGCCATCTCGAGCAGCGAGCCCAGCACGACGTAGAGCTGGGCCATACAAGGATGGTGGGAAAGGAGTGCCGCTGAGTACCCAACATTTTTTTCAAGGAACCGCCACATCCATACGCTAAAGAGCCGAGTCGTCGCGATCGAGGCGAAGGTCAACGGAGGAACAGTCTTCTTGCCCATGTCGAAGACAAGTTGTGCGTGGTTCGGGTCTGCGTTCTCCCGCTGGCAGCACACACGCAGTCCATTCTTCATATGGGTCGTGTCGCGGCCCAAGTGGGCACCTGCTACGAGGAAGCAATGCACGGTCATCACGTCGCCTGGGCGCCACGAGGTGTACGATTCCAGCGTAAGTAGATCCGCGAGCAAATCGATGAGATCGGTGTAGATGTGGACGTATCCGTTGAAGTCGCTTTCCAGCAAGAGCAGTGCAAGTGTCGTGCACACGTCAAACACCTTTTGGTGCAGCGCCGAATACTCGGGCGTGGCAAGGAACCGAACCATGTAAAATAAGATCACACCAGCGTTCGAGCTGAACACGGATGGGGAAAACGGACACACGTCGCTGCTGACAAACAAAGACAGCAATGTGCACAAGGTGTCTAACACCTTTGGATTCGGCGCAGACGTCGAGATTTCCTTCATGACCTTGGGCAGCATCTTGCGCGCCTTCCGCAACACTGTGAGACATCTTGCCGGGTCTTCATCAATGTCGGGAACTTGGTTGGTTGACACGCCGGACACGGGTACGACTGTCTTCGAATGGAACTGCTCTTGATGCACCAGCATGAGCCGCAGGACCTTCTCGAGATCGCTCTCCATGCCTCCGCGCCGAATCGGTGCGCAACGTGTGTTCTTATATCGAGTCCGCGCTTCAATCATCCTTCTGTATCCGGAAATCCGGATACATTGCAATTCCCTCAACGTTGTCGCAATGGACAAGCGCAAGTCCGGCGCGGCGTCGATGGCGCCGCGCAAAAAGAAAGTAAAGATCAGCAACGTAGCTGGGCGCATTCCCATCTCAGCATTCTTCAAGAGGATAGTTCGCCCGACGCCAGAAGCTGAAGATGCTGTTCCTGCTGGAGGCAACCACGTTCGAAAGATGCACGAAGAAACACTGGAGCATGAACAACATGAACAGGTTGAGGAGATCGACGGTGAAGAGCCGATGGACGTTACAGAATCAAAAAGCTCATGCTCTGTGCGCATGGTTCAAGGAACAATCAACTTTGATCATGCAAATGAAACGAAGTTGAAGGTTTTGAGAAGAGTCACAGGATTCCACATGCTGCGGTCGCGAGAGCTGCGAGGTGGGTTGCCACAACGCCAGCAACAGCAAGTCCTTCGAGATATATTGAAGTCATTTGCAGCACTTGGTGTCGCGCCACAGCCGGTCCTTCAGCCAAACCAATGGATCAGTTGTATGGAATTCGACACGGATGGCGTGATCTTGGCGACGGGGTCATCGAACGGCATGATAGCTCTGTACGACTTTGACGAGTATTTCCACCGACTCCTCGTGCTCCGCAACCTGCAGGCGAAGCCCCTTCGTCAAGCTACAAATGATGCTGCAACCCACGGGACGTTCAAGACGGTTCGTCCCGTACGTCCGCCGCCCCAGCAACCGTGCAACGATCATCTGCAGTGATAGATTCATATACTCAACACAGCTCTGGAAATCAAACGCATTCGGTGGAACCCCATGGACCAGGCAATCGACGATCAAAGCGATCACCGAGTTGACCAGTGCGCACTGTTGTAGGACATTCTCGCGTGCTCGTTCACGGCCCGGAACGAGATTCACCTGTACAACCTGAAAAAGTTTCCCACGCAACCATTTCGCGTTTTGAAAGCGCCGACGCGGCCGTCGTCGGGGTATTATGACTTTTTGTTTACCAAGTCTCGTACGTACAAAGCGACCGAGGCGACCCTTGAAAGCTCATTCGCAGGCACCTCCAACGCCCCGTGCATCGTTGGAGCCGACGTCGACGGGTCGATTCGCATGTGGGACACACACGTCCCGTCCAAGCCAGTCTGGGTCGTCGTGAACTCGCGCGATGTCGGCTCCATCACGTCCATGTGCCTGTGTGCAGGTCAACAGTACCTCATCTGTGGCACCGACCGCGGTTGGCTCTTGGTAAGTTGGTCTTCCATAACGCGTCGGTCACAAGAATTGACCAAAATGCCATGTATAGATATTCGATACTTGGAACATCGTCGTCCCTGCGTTTGGCCAGCGCCCTGTTCCGAAACGTGTGGCTCAGTACGACCTCTTGGTCCACTTGCGCGGTTCGTTTGCAAATCGGTGCTGGAATCGATTTTACGTCGTTCGTAGCAGCGGCACCGACCGCTGCAAACAACGCGACGGCGGCGTTGGGTGGGGGAGTGGTGTCTGTGCAGCTCGTCCCCAACACCGCCGCCACGATTGCTTGCCAATTGCTCAACGACTGGATTGTTGTCGTGGATGCCCTGCGCCGTCATGTGCTCCAGCTCCACACTGTCCTTCGCGGCGCGGTTGCCGCTCGACATGCCGGTCCTTCATCGTCCGACCCCACTACATTCTCCTTCGGTGACCCCACCTGCTTCCTTCGCATTCAACGTTTGGTTTTCGTTGCAGGCGAGCACGACACCTGGCCGTCGTCGAACGGACCGAGCACACGAATAGAAGCGTCAACGTGGAAGCTTCACCGGTGCATGGGGTCGTTCATGTTTGGCGGGGCCATGTTTACGACAGGATTTGCCAGCGACAATGGCCTGTACACGATAGGTACGTGACAGGGACTACACGGCGTCCCCCGTCATGCTGCGAGGGCCCTAGACATGCAGTCGCAACCAACGGCGACTGAAACCCCGTCCAAGATGGACCCTCCATCGACTGTTCAATTTCTCCGACGCCTGCGGATCCCCATGGAGCATTTCGTGACAGCTGTCGCGGCGCATCCCGTGTCCCACGTGATTGTGTGTGGCATGCATTCGAATGCGATAGCTGTCGTCGGGCCCGAGCCTGTCGATGCATCGTCATGACAGTCCGACTGCCATCGATCGGCCAAAGGTACATACCAACGTCACCCTCGTGCTCGACGCACATGACGTTTGCCATGCCGCAAGAGCTGTGTCGTAAACGATAACAAGTCCAACTCGTTGCATGATATCATTGTTTGATTTGCCTACTTATCTACTTCTTGTCACCGTCCAGCGCCTGCTTGACCAACTTAGCACCCGTCACCATGAACAGCGTTTGCCAAATGCCGAGCCCGATGCGCGGGACGATGCCCTTGAAGAGACCGCCGATGCCGTTCTCCTTGGTGACGGTCTTGAACACTTGGATCATGCTTTGCTTGGGCTCGCCGCGTTCGGCGGCAGTCTGCATTTGGATGCGCGCCACTTCGAATGGGTGGTTCCAGCACGCCAATGCGCCACCGATAATACCGGACCCGGCTTCTTGCGCGACGGTGAGCTTGGCGTTCTCGTCGCCGTGGAAGATGACCTTGAATTGGCCACGAACCAATTCCGTGAACCCTTGGCGCGACGCCCAGTTGGTCGCTTGACGAAACGCAATGGCACTGCCACCGGGGTAAAAGCCCTTGATCCCCTTGGCGGCGTACACGCTCTTGATCCGCTGTGTGGTCGAGATGCTCTTGTCACCGTTGACAGCGGCGGTGACGAGGAACGTGCAAGGTCCCATCACAACAACTTGGCACACCCCACCACCAGCACCAGCGGCAAACCCGGTCACGGTCTCTCCGACGCCACTGGCAAGCAACGAGTCCGAGATGGCTTCCTTCGAGAACAAAAGGATAGCTCCCTTGGACGCGGACTCCACCATCTTAGCGCCAGTTCCCGCCCAAAACGCAGACACCCCGCCTTGCTTGTAGATGTTGCCAAACGCTTCCAGAGTCGTTTCAGTGCGGTAGCTACCCATGCGCGTCTTCCACACTTCAAACGGCATGCCAAGAGAGGCCGCTTCCAGGCATTGCAAGATGCCGCCGTTGACAAGATCGCGGAACCCGACGTTCTTGGCCGACTTGGGGTGTGGACTCATGTGTGTCGTTGGGGAAGTTTTGGAAAATGCCTCGCCATGCAGCATGGACGTTTCGTCAACTGGGATCTCAACTTTTTCACGAAAACAACGCATTTTGCCATTATTTTTCTCAATGCTCCAACTATCGTCCTCTTGATTGGCTGCTCCAAACCTTTTCAACCAATCATACTTCTCCACAGGCAGGCAATGGATTTCCATGAAAAATGCGTGAAATTGCGCTCCGCGACAACCGAATCTGTCTGGACGAGGCATCCGCGGTGACGCAAACATCCGACCAATCAAATGACGGTATTTCCCCCGAAAGCGATTCTGATTGGCTTCGAACGGTTGTCATAATGGCCGTTGGCAAAACGCGACCTCAACCAGAGACACGGTGAAGGGGCACAGTGTCACTCCACCACGGATGGGCTGCGGTGCTATGCGCAGATGCCGCCATTCTAGCCGCAGATACGAAACAGAGCGTCCCCGAAGCGGGCCCCTGGCCACGATGACGGCACCCGCAGCCACAGCATTGCCACGGTCGCCCAACGACACCTCGACCCTCGTAGGGCGACTGACTGAACGATGACGTCATTGACATGTGTAGTGTAATCAAGGGTCGACAGTCCGTTCACGGGTAACAATCCCCGCAGTTATGGCTGTGTCATGTTGTTGACCTGGTGGAATATGCGTCGATCGTGGCCTCGTTGTTGTTGGCCATCTTCCATTTTCGTGCCAAGTCCTCAACATGGCTGCGTTCGACGTGATGTCCGTGTACTATGCGATGCTCCCGTTCTTCATCGGAGGGGCGTCCGGCATGGTCGCGACTGCGTGCATCCAACCCATGGACATGGTCAAGGTCCAGATTCAATCCCGGGCGGCGACTGCTGTGACGTCGCCACTGGCCATTGCTTGCGAGCTTGTCGGGTCGAAAGGCGTGTCGGCGCTGTACACTGGCCTTGGCGCGGGGCTGCTCCGCCAAGCCACGTACACAACTGCGCGCCTCGGAATTTTTGACGTCCTCTCCACACGGTTGAAATCATCGAGCGACGAAACGCTACCGTTCTACAAGCGCGCGGCGGCTGGCCTCGTCGCTGGCGGGCTTGGCTCGATCGTGGGCAACCCCTGCGACCTTGTCCTCGTGCGAATGCAAACGGACGCGCACTTGCCGCCGAGCCAGCAAAAGCATTATCGTGGCGTCGGCGACGCGTTCCGTCGAATTGTTGTGGACGACGGCGTGTTTAGTCTGTGGAAAGGATCGTTCCCGACCGTGTTGCGCGCTATGTCTCTGAACATGGGAATGCTTGCCATGTATGACCAGGCCAAGGACGTTTTCAGCCCCCTGTACGGCCCTGGCACGGCGACGGTGTTTTTGTCCAGCGCGACGGCCGGCGTCTTTGCGAGTGTATTCTCGCTCCCGTTCGACTTTGTCAAGACGCGCCTGCAAAGCACGACCATGTACAGCGGGTTCACCGACTGTGTCGTCCAAGTTGTGCAGAAGGAAGGCACGGCCGCGTTCTACCGTGGGTTTTCCACGTACTACGTGCGCATCGCACCGCATGCCATGATCACACTGACTGTCGCGGAGTCGCTTCGGCAATGGTTCAAGTGATCGTCCCAACAACATCTCGTTCACTTTCAGTGCATGTTTCCATCTATCTCAACTCTTTCCAGCGCTCTTTTGTCGCGGTCCCCCGTCCTCGACGACACTTTCTCTTTAAACGCTAAGCCTTCTGGTCGAGTTGCGTTCATGAAGGATGACGCAATTTTCATCACACTGATGGACCGACGGCTCCATCGCCGCATACATCCAACATTTCCTTGTGTACTGACGTGGGGGGGGTCGAGTGGATGTTGCCATGGTGAGAGCATTCGATCTTCACAAGCACCGTGCACGTCAGCAGCAATGAAACACGGCGCACTCGCGCTTATGCATCTCGACAAAAACGTATTTGAAAGCTCACGTCACATGGCGTCATTGGGACGGCGCGCGAGATGGGCCAACAAGATCGTCTCGATGCTATTGACAGCACCCTCTCGAGATCAACTCAATATGCTTGGAAAGGGCTCCGTCCTTGGTTTTGACGGAGAGGCGGTTCGCAAGGTTCACGACGGGGCACGAATGGTTGACAAGGACAGTGACCCGGTCGCCAACTTGGGGGGACGCGGACGGCCCAAGGGTTGGTGCATGGGCCACCCATCCATGTTCTTCCGACAATTTCTTGATTTGAAAGCACACAGTTCGGACGCCAGACGGAAGAGCCCACTCGAACGCGGTCGGTTCGGTCGTAACCTGGTCAAAGTCTTGCTCGCGAAACACGAGTCCGTAGCAGTCGCTGCCAAACTCGCCACTGCCGCGCACCCTAGTCGAAATGGCTCAAGCAGCCGCGGGATAGACGCTACCGTGCTCTGAGCAGTACATGTCAGTGGAGAGGACTTTGGACCCGGCGTCGATGATAAAGTAGTGCGCGTTGGAGCTCACAACCGTGGCCACGACAGTCAGCGACACGTTTTGGACACTCGACACGCCGGTTCGCACTGGCGTTCGGTCTTGAAAGATGTAGTTCCCAGGGCGCAGCTTGACCATGGCGGAAGTGAATTGGATGCTGCGATGACATGCAACGTGCCTACCTCGGTGATACCATCAAAGTTTTGGCGGCACAGTTCCGTGGGGGTGCTGCCGACAGAAACGACAGAAATCGGCGACCCCAACTGCACACACGTCGTCACGATACAAAACGAGGGGTTTGCGTGTACCGCTTCAATGGTTGCCTTGACTCGCACCATGATCTGGCGCTCCACTTCTCCGATTTCCTCGCACTCTTCTCGCGACTTGGCTCCATAGGAGTGTCCTGCCGTGCCTGGTGAGGCAAACGCGCACGCTTGTGTGTTCATGCATTACCTGCATGCGAAAGGATCCCCATCAGTTTCAGTGATGGAGATTGCTGAATGAGAGATACGAGCTCGGCGAGACGAGGGTCGTGTTCCTGCCGGCATGGAAGGTCCACTCATGACAACGTCGGCACTTACCTCCACACCAACTCGATGGTACCCGACGTCCACATGAATCAAGACGTTGAGGACATGATTGTTCTTTGCCGCACTTGATGCCGCCACTTGGACCCCCACGAAGCTCTCGACTGTGAGGTTGAGCGTCGCGTCGTGCTGCTGTGCGCAACGAATCGTCAGGTCCAACTTGTCTTCGACTACCACTGGGTACGCAAGGGTGACGTCGCGAAATCCAGCTTCAATGAACTTTCGAGCCTCCAGAGGCTTTGACACAGTGAGCCCGACGGCCCCCGCATCCAGAACCATCTTGGCAATATCAATGCTCTTGTGCGTCTTTGCATGAGGACGGAGATTCACGTGGTTCTTCGACGCATGTTCTTGCATGCGGGCAATGTTGCGCAGCAAACGATCCTCATCGACTACGATCGCTGGGGTATCACACCCATGCCGATGCGCTCATGACACCAACTTTTCCTTGATTGACAAGTATTCATAGTCGTACTAAACACTATGTAGTATACCAAGTCTCATACAACCTAGATATAATATGGTCATTCTAGTAGGACTAGAGGAGCAAGGTTTCCTACTATCGACAACCCACACAGGAACGACAACATGATCGCGTGCGTGGCCATCGTTGGGGCAAATGTGCGTGCGCGGACATGTCGGCGGTCCATGACAAGAATCTGCGTGTGTAGAACAATCCATTGTTTGTCCGAGCGTACTGCGAAGATGACGACCTGTCGTTTCATTACATTGCTCACATCGCGTTGGACATTGTCGAGGAACGAGGTATGGCGCCACGATTGCCATCATTGCCACGGCATGACATTCTTTTGCAGTCAAACTGTCAAAGGACGATATGTACCTGGGTTTCTTGGGACCCGTCGAGGATTTCCGAGTGTACGACGCCGCCTCCAACGGCGCAAGATGCCACGTTTGACTGATGTGTTGTAGGTACGGCTACGTCACCAACACGTTGGTAAAGCTCATTGCGGTTGTGCAAGACGCCCCTCTGAAGGACTCCGACATGCGAGCGGTATCGTCCTGGTCACTTGGTCATGCTGACCCAGTTCGCATTAGTTCTTCGCGGACGTCCACAAGCTGTACGTGAATGCCATGTCGAATCCATTTGCCATTCTTGGCGAGCGCATCACGTCTGCAAAGTTTGAGAGTCATGTGAAGAGTCTCGTGCTTCAGCACAATCAAGCACAGGAAGCGCACTAACGCCACACAAACTGGAAATTTTCTATTCGACGTAAATCGAAGGCGACAGGTGCTTCTTGGCTCGGCGAGGTTGGGGCATTCCACACCCTTCGCACGAATCGACCTCGATCGGGTTGTGCATGGTGCATCGATTGCACGCCCAAATAACCTCTTCCTTTGTTTCGTCGTCTCGAGGGGAGGCATATCCACGTGACTCCGTCGAATGCATCTCCAAAGTGTTAGACGACTCGACGCTCTGCTCCTCCTGGACATCATGGCAGTCGTTGTTCGCTCCAGAGATTACTTCCATGCGAGCCGGCTGGTGCCTCTGCACCACCGTCGTCCCTCCTTCAAATTCGACTTCGCTCTCGCTCAATTCAACAGGTTTGGGTCTTTTCGCTGTAGGCGGCTTCTCGTACAGGAACTCGTCGTTATCGCTCTGGGAATCTCCGACGTCGTCCGATAATTCTTCCTCCGAGCTGTCGTACGTCTTTTCTGGACGTCGCTTGATGCGACCAGTGTGTGGTTTGTCCTTGGCAATGCAACTCCTGCCCGTGCTTCGTATTCGTTTGGAGGTCGTTGGCAGCTGCTGTTCGATGTCGACCTCATCGGTGGATGGCGCACTGTCACCGTCTTCGCCATCGTCGCTGCTGTGACGGTTGTTGGTTTTTAACAAGTTTTCTTGGTCAATTGCCAGTTGTTCTTGCCGCTCTTTTTCAGCTCGGACTTGGAACAGTTCCCAATCCACTCGACAGCTAAACACAAAGCTCACCTATCCATCATCATGACCAAAGAAACGGAAACAGTTGTTGTCTCGAACGTACCAAGTTCTGGTTTGCTTGTGCTTCTTGCATGATTTCATCCTCAACCGTAGCGTACGAGTAATGATGGCTCCAGTTGTTCAAGTCTTCTTCGGCAGGCATACTGCTCACATGTACATGAGAATGGTAAAATGAATGAGAACGACGGCAACAATTGCATGTAAAGTACCCAATTTGTGGCTCAACCATCATCGAATGGTCGCAGTGTTCGTTTTCGTCGGAAATTTTGCAGCGTTGGCACTTGAGCTGATCGTGTGTGTCGGACGGGGTGCCCTCCATAAACACAAAAAGCCTCTACGCAAGACAAGGATGATTTCACGACCACGACGACATTGCCAACCTTAAGATCCTTGGTCGACAGCGAGTTCACTTCTTCCTTGTCGTCCACGATGCTCTGGAGACCTTCTTTTGACAACTGCCGCTGGAATATCTTTTCCTCCAGCGTACCTGAATTGCAACTAGACGTCAGGCGAGACGCTTCGTGACACACAAGAATACCAGTTGCAACAAAGCGATAAATAAAACATTGCTTCTTTTGCCCCTCTCGCCAAATGCGCGCGGCAGCTTGTTTGTCTGTGGCTGGATTCCAGTCTGGGTCGAATAGCACCAACCGATTCGCGCCGATCAAGTTGAGGCCACAGCCACCCGCTTTACTCGACAGAAGAAACGCAAACGAGTTGGTCTTTGGATCATTGAAGACATCGACGAGGCTTTTTCGTTTCTTCGCAGACGTTGAACCGTCAAGCCTCATCATTATTTTACACAGTGCATCCAAGACGATAGAATAGTCTATCCCTACCGAACAGATGGGAAATTGCGCTCACGGCAAAGGGCCGACACAACATCCAACGTCTATTAGTATGTGAGCCATGCAGTTTGGTGCTTCGCGTACCTGGGTGTAATTCGATACAATCACGATGCGATCATCTGTCTTCCGCCGCATGACTTGCATGAGTCTGTCCAATACTTGAAACTACGATCAACGGAATCAACCCCGCGACTCGTACAGTCGCGAAGATCTCGATGGGAACATGTACCTTGCCTGACCACTCGGGGTGGCAAGACCGGTTGCGATGGCTACAAAAGTTTGCAATGAAAATTGGCAGCACAAAAAGCAGTAGTACAACGGCACCCTTGTTCAGGGAGGTACGCCATGCAATCTTCAAACCCAGCTGCGACTTTGGTTTGGCCACTTGCTTGCTGTTCAATAATTAAGCTAGGGTGGTTGCACAGCTTCTTGAGTGCTATGGAAAATCCAATGCCATGAGCAAGCAGCAACTCAAGAATTCCACGATCGAATTAATCCACAGTACCGGTGATGGACGACAGTACATGGGTGCTATTTTTCTTCATCATGTTCCGGTATGCGTTCGAGTGCAGGAAGTGCGAATACATTTGATGCTGAATGTACGACAGGTTGCAACACACAACCTGTGTTAGTTTTGGCGGGAGGAACTTGGCATTCAACGAATTCGTCCGTCTGAGGATGAACTGGTTGACAATTTCGCACATTTCCCCCGAGCACCTGCGAAAGCTCAATGTTACGCGTGGCTTGCCGAAGAAACACGCACCTCTGGGCCAGTTTTCGGTCGTGATCGGAGCAATCGGGCTCGCGGCCCACCAGGATAGGACCCAAGTATCGCCGTCGAAACTCGCGAGTGTCGCCCAATATGTTTGGATTGGTAAAGTCCACCATCGCATAAAACTCCTCCAAGTCGTTTTGCATCGGAGTTCCTGAGAGCAAGATGCGGCGCCGACACGGCAATGCTAGAACGAACATGACATGACATAGACGCCGTGCTTGGCGCACCTGCAAGGGCTTGATTGATCTGGGATTGAGCGTTCTTGAGTCGATGGGCTTCATCACAAATCAATAATTCGCACGCTTGCGGTTCATTCACGAACTTCTCGGCATGCATGCGAAACGTCTGTATCGTGGGATTCAAGCACAACGCACCGTGCGAAAATCAAACGAATGTACCTCGTACGAAATGATGAGAACTTTTGGGGCCATGCTTTTGTTGGCCCATTTGCTGCCGTTGATAAAACTGAGGATGCCACTGATCACGTTTTCCCTGCCAGACTCTGCCCACAACGTCAAGAGAGATGAGGTACAACAGACTCACTCGTACCATACAGCGCGATGGTCTTGACCTTGCCCTTGAGCCACTTGACGACTTCGTCGTCCCAGTTCTTCACTAACGACGTCGGGCACACCACGACAGCTCGATTGATCGTCGGTTGGTCAGGGTTTTCCATGCTTGTGCAGAGTAACGTGTACATGATGGCAATGCTCTACACACATATGATTGATAAACGCAATGCATACTTGGGATGAACCTGCAGCGTTTTCCCCAGACCCATGTCATCTGCCAAGATGCAACCATTGCCTTCGAATCCACGAATACCGTTGACTACAAATTTTAGTTAGTCAAGCCACTCAGCGGGAAATATCAAACATACCACAATCAAACATAAACTGGACGCCCTCACGCTGATGCGGGCGAAGGAATTTGCCAATGATCTCAGGAACAACTGTCTCGACATCTTGTCCATCGACCTCACCGGACCATAGCACGAGTGGCTCGGCGGCTGGTCCATCATCCTTCTTCGTTTCTTCAGGTTCAGCATCCTGTGGCGCATCTTGGACAAAATCCATAACTACGTCGACGGCAGGCTGGACTTTTGCCATGGATGTTGGGATGTTGCCCCATCGACGTCGCGACCCGAGCGTCTTGACGCTGAGCAACCGAACACTTTCTTGAGTTCGAAGGCTTTCGCAAGGAGACTTGAATGGTTTGAACAAGCAATCCAAATCCCGGAGTGGGTTCAGGAAGGAAAGAAAGGGCAAGTTCTTGATGACCATGTCGCCCGACTTGTAGTTGTCTGACCGCCGACTGGGTGGGGATGGTCCACTGGGTGACACAAACTGCTTGTTCCTATCGTTCGGAATCGCCTTCGGGCGCATCCGGAGTAAGCTCATGGTCGTGAGAGATCCTGCCGCGGCTGGCGTGGAGGTCGTTCTTCGTGCGCCTTTTTAGACTCGCAATTCAATTCAAGTCGCACGCGGGAAAAGGATATCCGGAAAATTTTATCCGTATCGTCTAGGAAAGAGTACGCAAGCATCATTCACAGCAGTCCGAAATGCGCATTGAACGACGATCTTTGTCTGGAAGCAACATGCAATAGGGACAGACTTGCGGAACCAAGGCCGTTAAAGAGCGCAAAGTTGTGTATTCATGCCCTTCGCAGGACGTTGTAATGTGTCGATGGCAAATTTGACGGTCGATTCATTTTCGCAAGACCAATCGAATATCCAGTTGACAACGAAAAAGTCGACGGGAAGCATGGACAGTCGTCAAGAAGTGCATTACGCCAGCTCATTTACATCCCAAAGGGCTCTGCATTGACGATGGGAGGTCGATTCGTTCGAATGACGTAAACCTCAGCATCCACTGTTGAGGTCATCAAGAAATGGGTGGTCTTGCGAAACAGCACGTACGGGTTGTTACGGATCGGTTCGTATTCGTAGATCGCGTCTTGTCAAATCGGCAGTTAATCGTAGCACGGTTTCTCGCGTGCTGTCCACCGCATGGGGCGGGCATGCAAGCACAAAGCTGGGCTCACGCCACTCGTTCGAAAACCCGAACAAATGTCGCACCCAGCATTGTTCTGGAAACACCTCAGTTTTCATGCGGGCTTTGAATTGTTCGTGTGCTGCATCGTTCTTTTCTTGAGACAACAGCTCGCCCATGGGGTTCCGCAATAGATTCGAGTTCAATACGGACGGAGGGTACATAAGTTGGGAACAGACATCGCAGCTCTCGCCGTCGAGTACTGTCGCGAGTACAGCACACCTTCCACTCCAGGGACGTCGATCCAGCTTTCGAACGACGTAGCCCACAACTCTTTTACCTTTTCTTTCATCGTCGTGCTCAACGCGCGTCCACTACTCTTCGCGCGGCGCATGCAATGATGGGGGCTGGAGCGATATTTGGTCTTCCGGATACATAGCTCATCATTGAGTTTAGTTATAGGGATTATCCGAACAGCTTATGTGTGGTGTTTCGCAAAACGAACAATTCGAGAGAACCGGCGGCGGCAGCGCAGCCCCATGAGTGTCCTGGATCCGTCAAAGGACAAGCTAGCGTATTTCAAGGACAATATCCAGACAGCAGAAGATCAGGTACATCGTCCCTCATCTTTGGGAGGAGTAACAGGAGGTCAGATCGGGGGAATGGACCTCATTCTCTAGATCGCCCTCTTCCCACATGTACCACGTCAGGGACTGAGTGCATGACGTTAGGAGGATTTCGATGCAAGTCAGTACTACTATAATCGACAGGAAGGGTTTTTCAAGGCTGGGCCGTCAAGCATGGCAGGTACGCGCGTGTGCTGAGCATGTCGAGAGTTATGCTTGTGCTCAACAGGCAACGAAGGATTGCCAACAGGAGCAGGGTTGTCCATGCCACCGAGTGCATTCGGCAACTTTGGAGGTTCCAACGTGCAATCCGGTGGCATGAATTCGGTACGGCCCGACGATCCCGATCGTCGACCGACTTGACACCCCTTAGTTTCTTGCTGCGACTACTACTGGTTTGGGTATGGGCAGCATTGGTATGTCCAGCATGGGGATGGGAGGTGGCGTCGGCATGGGAATGGGCATGGGAACTAACAGTTCGTCAAACAACGTTCTGCGGCCGCCACCTGCCGCTCCAAGCAGCGGCGGACTGCCTCCGCATGAGATGAACTACATGGCCCGTACATTGAGCACGGAATCAAGTCCCGCTGCACCGAAAGCACCCCGGCAGATTTTCTCGGAAAAGGGCCCTGACATGTCCGAGTTTCCTGCCCTCACGTCTCGGTGGGGCTTGCTTCCTCGTTGGAATCCGTTGTTGACAAGTTCTTGTGTCGCAGCTCCCTGCCCCTCGACGTCGATTCGACATCGTCGTCGTACCGGCAAAATTCGGAGTTTGTCATTCAAAAAGAAGACTTCCCGGCGCTGTCGACGTTTGGCGGGGCGACGCAGCCGCCCCTGAACAACGAGAAATCCATGTCAACGACCAACGACGCCATGCTCCAGCGCCACCATCCCACGAACAACGCAAACAACACGTCGATTGGGTCCCGATCCGGAGGAAACAGCACCAACTTTTCTCAAGGCAACTTTCACGCAAACAACATGAATTCGTTCCCAACGCTTGGTGAAACGAAGCAAGTGCGTGCTGCTCGACTTCATCCATCTTGAAGGTTCTGGGGTGAAGAGCTAACTTGCGAATGTGCAGGGCGGTGTCGCGTCCGACCGAAAAGCGGACGAGTACCCCAAATTTGGCCTCATTGGGATGCTCCAGTTTATGCGGCCCAACGAGTCGGAGCGGCCACTCGTTCACGGCTACGACTTGACCACGCTGGGCATGAATCTAAATTCGTCCGAGTACGTTGACTTTAAGTTGGAAGAAGAGGCAACGGAAAGGATATGCTCACTCCATCGCTTCTTCATCTAGATCGCTGCATCAAACGTTTGCATCGCCGTGGGCAGACGGTCCCTGCACAAAAGAACCACAGTACAACCTGCCAGCCTGCTACTACAACCAGCCGCCCGTGCTGAAGACAGCGCACTTGTCCAAATTCCAGCTAGAAACGCTCTTCTTTGTGTTTTACGCCATGCCGAAAGACGTGGCGCAGGCGTGTGCGGCCCAGGAGCTGTATATTCGCGAGTGGCGTTACCACGTTGAGCTCAAACTGTGGTTCAAGAGGCAGCCGAATGAAGGCAACGGCGTGGCCCAGTTCATCTACTTTGACATCAACTCGTGGGAGCGACGACTATTTGGCGGCAATACGAATGGAATTAGTGCAGGGTTCATGGGCGACGACGACATCCGAGTCAAGTTTAACGGCGCCAACAACGCATAGACTTAACCCCCATGGAATACAGAACCTCTCTAGCTGGTCGGCCATGTTTCCCGGCCTTTTTCGTACGCGGTTTGCATCAGCTGTCGTGACAGGTTAGTCCACCGCCGCAAATATTTGCCCGATCACTTGCCTTGTTCTCGAATTTAAGATCGGCCACTTGGGTCGTCAGGTCGGCCACTTCCCTCTACACCATCGCAAGTTTCTTGTCAAACGGCGATGGGAGTTGTATCCTGGAAATATACCTCGAACTTGGTTTGGGCGGTTTTGATCGCGGTTGTGGCCTCTGCTAGTTGCCTCTTCAGCAATGTAATTTGTCGCTACACAAGCCATTGTTCCAAAACTGAATCGTATTGCCCATACCTCCTTTGATGCGAGCTTGAATGCATGGTCGGCCACAAGATGCTTCTCCCGCTTTGCACTCAGGTCTTTGGAAGCCGTCAACGCACCCATCAGCTCCCTGCCGAGCTTATCAATACCGACTGTTGTGTCCACGTATGGGACGTACTCGTTTTGCCTTCTCAGTCGACTGATCGTCAGCTGCATTTGCGCTCGCATGCGCGTCATCCGTTGCTTCAAAAGCTGGTCTTCCTTCACTCGATGCATGGCGCTTTCGGACCAGGTTGACATTGGCTGACTTGGCGCCTGGGAAAAAGTACAGGATTGTAGCGCGTTGCCCGTGGTTGCGGGAAATGAACTGTGCACCTGGTTGTTGCACTCGCCATCATCGTCGAGGACTTCGTGCAAGACCGAGTGCATTTGAGTGGCCTGGGATGAGCTCGCAGTCCGCGGTGGTTGACATGAGCTGCTGAACGAGCCACGCAAGTTGGTCACCGCCAACTGCTCGAGCACTTTCAAGTCAAATGGCGTATCAGGGCAAACTTCGGTGTCTCCCTTTGGACAGCATATTTGGACCTGTCGACTGAATAAGGGGACTGGAAACTCACCTCTGTCGAAGCATTGTCACTTCCAGTGCCTTCATCAACGTCGGGCTCTTTCGATTGAATATTGATCGGAGAGCGGGATGAGACTCGCCTTGCATTGTTCGGTGGCACGCGGCTAGGTGGACGGGGAATGACTCCGACCTGAGTTTTCTGAGGCGTCCGCAACGTTCGTTGAAGTCCACGGCTGGGCTCGTCAATCAGGTTCAATGCAAACGCCTCGTTGTCTGCGTACAACAAGAGGTCGTCGAGAGTCGGCTCGTCGTTGCCCCCACTCCAGCAGCTCATTGCCGGATGCCGTTCCAACACAGGATGCTATCCTAGAAGCGGTTACAAACGTCTGTAACTCCCGCGACGACTGCATCTCGATGGTCACCCACGGGAAACCCGACGCGGCGGTACATCACTGGTTGAACAAGTGGGTTCCGCCTGCGCACATCGACCAATTGTGTTTCGCGACCGTGTACACCAATGCCTCTTCTCCATCATATACCCTTCCTCGCTGCAACGACCCACGATGAAGGATGAGGTGGGCTTGAGGAGTTGGGACGCTGCCGTCGCGGTCATTGCGCGCCATGTCCGAATCTACGATTGGTTGGATTCGACCTATCGTAAAGGACACACAAGTCAACTTCAAGTTGTGAAATTCAAATTTTCCGATTTGGCGGGAATGCTATGGGGAAGGGAACGGGACGTTGGACCGACGCAATTGCATGATGCACTGTGCGATAACAAGAATTGATGCCTTTCTTTGGGACACCCCCACATGGAATAACTAAGGTCTACGCCACCCTACTCATCGTCTTCTTCTTCTTCTTCCTCCTCTTCGTCGTCTTCCTCTTGAACCTCCTCTTCTACGTCTTCGACTTCGTCGTCCTCGTCAGCGACAGCAACACCGCCGTTCTTGTACGTTGCCAAAGCTGTTTGGTAATTTGCCTTGGCATCCGAGGCGAGTTTGTGGTACTTTGTGCGCTTCTTCTCAGGCAGCAATCGCCATTGTTCGGCCAACAACGGGGCAATTTCTGTGATGGATTTGGTGGGATTCTTTTCACGGATGGTTGGACGAACTTCCTGGCAGAAAAAGAAATACGCCGACAGTGGCCTCTTGGGGGCGTTAGGATCCTTGTTCTTGCCACGAGCACCCTTGGTCTTGCCGGCATTTTCGTATTCCGGGTCAGGCGTGTACTGGTCTTTCTCGTCTTGATACCGGTCTTTGTCAGACTGCGCCATCTTTTCGTACTTCTTTTTGTCCTGATCACTGACTTGAGCCCAGCGACGGCCAATTTCGGAAGACACTTCCAGGAATCCCAAGTGGGGCATTTCGACTTTGAGAATCTCTCGGCACTCCTTGCCAAAGAACATGAACGGAGTCAATGCACGCTTGGGAGCGTTCGGGTCCTTCTTCTTGCGGGGCTTGCGGGTTTGCTTTCCTGCCGCAGCGGCACTGGCAGCACCGCGCTTGCTCGAGCCCGCATCCTTTTTCGCTTTCGCCGGTCCTCGCCCCATCCTCGTGTCTGTCGCCTCGGCTAAGATTTGAAAAGTGAACAACCCATGTTGTACGTAACACAACCCCTCATACAAAATCCAAGTTTAAATTCAAAATCCGAGCTTTCCATTCTGAACCCCTTCCCTCCACCTCATATTCGACCCCATGAATTTCAATACTGAACCTCATATAATTATAAAGCGGCAACAATGTATGGGGAAACCTAAACATCGGCTCAAGGTGGGTCTTCTTCGTGTTGGGAGCAGCCAATCAAACGTTCAATGCAGCGTCTTTACGACGCTTGATTGGTGGAACAAAATACCATAAACGCGACTCTGTAACGACGACATTGGGCCACATACAACGTCCAAGATATTGAAAAGGGGTAGGTTGAACATGGGAGAAATATCGATCCATCATGAAAATATATATTGAATCTTAGCATTTATTTAAATGGTGCTACACATTATAGTGAAATCAAGTATATGTCAGCAAATACAATTATGCTTGGCACGAACTTTTTTCATTCAATACATTCGGTGTCGCTGAAAGCATTCCCGACACGAGATGGAGCGCACCTGACGTCACATGCTGGAGATGGGAGGGCGAGAGCGCCGAAAGATTGCGATGCATTGTTTTGGAAGGCAGAAGAGTGATGGGTGGAGTTGTTTGTACGTGGTTGACGTGTCGACGAGCTTAAACAGCCCGGATTGTAGTGTATGTGGAACCGTTAGCGCAATCCTGCGCCATTCTCGCCTCGATTGAGTTCGTGGACGCTGCAAACGGTCGACCTCGTCACTCGTCTTAGGGCCAACGTCGCCTTCGCGATGGACTTCAGTGAACTGTCAACCTATCCGTTGTGTAGCAAGTGCAGCGGGCCTGGTCATGGGATAACTCAGCCTTGGCGTGGGGACGAGCACGAGAGTCCGGTGAATGATGAACGACCGTCTTAAACCAATCAATAATTTGACTATTGAATTCCCCGATTCATGTTGGGTGCTTACCGTTGTGGTAAATTCATGGTTCATGCGCTCACTTCACGAACGGTGTACACATCGATACACACGGCGAGACAGGGTTTTGAGTTTGGCGCAAACCAAAGAGCCGATGCCGTGCGCACTTGGTTCATGTGGCTGCGAAATTGCATCCACATCGGGTATGCACTCCCGATACGAACTAGAATCAAACCCTTGACACAGGGTTGCCTCCTGCCACTAGAAATGCATCATCGTGACGGGGTCGTCGCTGCGAGGCGCTACATCTACACCCCGAAATGCTCGCCACAATGTCAGACCCTCGCTCGGGAGGACCTGCTCGAATGGCATGTTGACCCGCGCATGCCCCGTTGCTGCCGTCACGATGGGTCCACAACGAGCAGAGTGTCCGAGAAGCTTCAGCAATCCCGTTAAATGTAGCACGCTGCGATGACAATATATATGCATCCTTTAGTCTCTTTTTAAAAAGTATATCTTAAAAACAAACAACACAATTGATTTTAACGTTTGGATTGAACTTGTCACCTACCGAGGGCAACGACATGGACCCGTTGGAACAGCGCGACAAATCGTGCTTGGCTAGTTGAAAAGTTACCACAAGCGAGAGGCATGGGGACGGTTTTTGGGCGAATTCATGAAGAGACTCCCCAGTACGAGAGCTTGGGGTTCATTGGGCCCCAACAAGACATCGAGATCCGCCGCTACGAACCGGTGTATGTGGCGTCTGTGTCGTCGAAGGACATCCCAGGGGTTGCGACAAATGTCCAGTTCACGCGCATGGCGTTTGGGGCCCTGGCGCGCTACTTTGGTGTGTTTGGGAAGCCAGAGAACAAGTCGCAGTTGGGTGAAAACGGCCCCGGCGAAGCCATTCCGATGACGTCCCCTGTGGTCGTGTCAACAGCGGAGAACTTGGAGGCCGAAGGAGGCGAGCCTATCAACATGACCGTGCCTGTGGTGATGTCAACGTCGAACGACAGCGTTGACATGTCGATGAGTTTCTTGCTGCCGTCCAAGTACACCGCGCAAGGAACGGCACCTCCAACTCCGTTGGACCCGAAAGTGCGCATCAAGAAGCTCGATTCGCGCCTCGTCGCGGTCAAAAAGTTCTCAGGGGAGCTCACCAAGAACACCGCTGAAGCTGCGGCTGCCGAAGTGATTGGCGTGATTGACATTGAAGGCAAGTTCCAGATGAAGCGAAACGAGCACGGCCGACCTGCATGGGAGTACATGGGGTACAACGCCCCGTACACCCTGCCTTGGTTCAAGACCAACGAAGTCGCTGTCTTGTTGGACGATATAATTTTGACGTCGTCGAGCTCAAGTGCCGACGAATAAACCATGTCGCGACGACGAGGTCAAATTTATCTGCCAGAGCATTTTTCCGTTGTATGGCTTTTGTCACGTCGCTCATGGTGGCCGCAATGCAGCAGTGGCTTCCAAGCCCGCAGATGCACTTCACAGACCCTGGTTCATTCTCTCGAGGTAGCCCCGTCAAGCTTCGTGCCCACGAGTCTGGCACTGTCGCGGTTCGTTCAGACCATGGGCTCGGACTGTGTCTCCATGTCGGCGTGACGAAACACTGATGAAGCAGACTAGACCAAGCAGGGGCTGCGATTCGGTGGAGATGCGCATCGCTGCTCCTGTGAGTCGATCGTGCGGTCATTTCGCTTGCATGCTGTGCACCTTCAACCACATTTATATAGGAACCTCGCGAGTTCTGCAGCTGTCATATACTACGTACTGTAGTACAATAACATCACAGATATTAGTGTGAACCACACTAATTCTGAACCTGCTGATTTTTGTTGTTTTGGGGGGCGGCCTCTCCACGCACAGTTCACAGAGTTGACCACACTAATTCTGTATCCACACTAAATGTGGTTCACGATGTGTAGTCAATGTCGCATCCCACTGTTTACATCCATATGGGGGTTGCGTGCATCACCAACACTCTTC